CTCTTAAAGACTTAATTGTTTTCTGAGGTTATTTCCCTTTGATAACTTGACGCCATTTGTCATCAGGGGAGATCACTCTTACAGACTTAATTATTTTCTGAAGTAACTTCCCTTTGGTTACTAGACGCCATTTGTTATCAGGGGAGATCACTTTTACAGACTTAGTTATTTTTTGAGGTTACTTCCCTTTGATAACTTGACGCCATTTGTCATCAGGGGAGATCACTTTTACGGACTTAATTATTTTCTGAGGTTACTTCCCTTTGATTACTAGACGCCATTTGTCATCAGGGGAGATCACTGTTATGGACTTAATTATTTTCTGAAGTTACTTCCCTTTGATTACTTGACGCCATTTGTCATCAGGGGATATCACTCTTACAGACTTAATAATTTTCTGAAGTTACTTCCCTTTGATTACTTGACGCCATTTGTCATCAGGGGATATCACTCTTACAGACTTAATAATTTTCTGAAGTTACTTCCCTTTGATTACTTGACGCCATTTGTCATCAGGGGAAATCACTCTTACAGACTTAGTTATTTTCTGAAGTTACTTCCCTTTGGTTACTAGACGCCATTTGTCATCATGGGAGATCACTCTTAAATACTTAATTGTTTTCTGAGGTTATTTCCCTTTGATTACTTGACGCCATTTGTCATCAGGGGAGATCACTTTTACGGACTTAATTATTTTCTGAGGTTACTTCCCTTTGATTACTTGACGCCATTTGTCATCAGGGGAGATCACTCTTACAGACTTAATTATTTTCTGAAGTTACTTCCCTTTGATTACTTGACGCCATTTGTCATCAGGGGAGATCACTTTTAAAGACTTAATTATTTTCTGAGGTTACTTCCCTTTGATTACTTGACGCCATTTGTCATCAGGGGAGATCACTCTTACAGACTTAATTATTTTCTGAAGTTACTTCCCTTTGATTACTTGACGCCATTTGTCATCAGGGGAGATCACTCTTACAGACTTAGTTATTTTCTGAGGTTACTTCCCTTTGATAACTTGACGCCATTTGTCATCAGGGGAGATCACTTGTTATGGACTTAATTATTTTCTGAAGTTACTTCCCTTTGATTACTTGACGCCATTTGTCATCAGGGGAGATCACTTTTACGGACTTAATTATTTTCTGAGGTTACTTCCCTTTGATTACTTGACGCCATTTGTCATCAGGGGAGATCACTTTAACAGACTTAATTATTTTCTAAAGTTACTTCCCTTTGATTACTTGACGCCATTTGTCATCAGGGGAGATCACGCCATTTGTCATCAGGGGAGATCACTCTTACAGACTTAGTTATTTTCTGAGGTTACTTCCCTTTGATTACTTGACGCCATTTGTCATCAGGGGAGATCACTCTTACAGACTTAATTATTTTCTGAAGTTACTTCCCTTTGATTACTTGACGCCATTTGTCATCAGGGGAGATCACTTTTACGGACTTAATTATTTTCTGAGGTTACTTCCCTTTGATTACTTGACGCCATTTGTCATCAGGGGAGATCACTCTTACAGACTTAATTATTTTCTGAAGTTACTTCCCTTTGATTACTAGACGCCATTTGTCATCAGGGGAGATCACTGTTATGGACTTAATTATTTTCTGAAGTTACTTCCCTTTGATTACTTGACGCCATTTGTCATCAGGGGAAATCACTCTTACAGACTTAGTTTTTTCTGAAGTTACTTCCCTTTGATTACTTGACGCCATTTGTCATCAGGGGAGATCACTCTTACAGACTTAATAATTTTCTGAAGTTATTTCCCTTTGATTACTTGACGCCATTTTTCATCAGGGGAGATCACTCTTACAGACTTAGTTATTTCTGAAGTTACTTCCCTTTGATTACTAGACGCCATTTGTCATTAGGGGAGATCACTTTTACGGACTTAATTATTTTCTCAAGTTACTTCCCTTTGATAACCACACGCCATTTGTCATCAGGGGAGATCACTTTTAGGGATTAAATTATTTTCTTAAGTTACTTCCCTGGATAACCACACGCCATTTGTCATCAGGGGAGATTACTTTAACGGACTTAATTAATTTCTTAAGTTACTTCCCTTTGATTACAAGACGCCATTTGTCATCAGGGGAGATCACTCTTACAGACTTAATTATTTTTTGAAGTTACTTCCCTTTTATTACTTGACGCCATTTGTCATCAGGGGAGATCACTTTTAGGGATTAAATTATTTTCTCAAGTTACTTCCCTTTGATTACCACACGCCATTTATCATCAGGGGAGATCAATTTTACAGACTTAATTATTTTCCGAGGTTACTTCCCTTTGATTACTTGACGCCATTTGTCATCAGGGGAGATCACTTTAACAGACTTAATTTATTCTGAGGTTACTTCCCTTTGATAACTTGACGCCATTTGTCATCAGGGGAGATCACTTTAACAGACTTAATTTATTCTGAGGTTACTTCCCTTTGATTACTTTACTCATTTGTCATCGGGAGATCACTTTTAGGGATTAAATTATCTCCGAAGTTACTTCCCTTTAATCACATGACGCCCTTTGTTATATAAGTAGGGAAGCAAACTTTGAGTCATTTTTTCATTTTTCAAAGTAACATCCCTTTGAATAAAATGCTTTTTGTAATGAGCAATGTAGGTCACTATTACGGATCCTATATTGTTCTCAAAAATTACTTCCCTTTGAACACTGAACGGCATTTATACTTAGTACTCTTAATTCATTTTCTTTCAAAGTTACGTCCCTTTGAATAAAACGCCATTTGTAATTAGCAGGGGATGTGACTATAACTGACTTGATTATTTTGCAGGGGAAGTCACTTTATTGTCTTCCATTTTGAACAGTGACAACATTTGTAGTTCTACAAAATTACTTCCCTTCAAACTCTTGATGTCATTTGTATACTTTATATAACTTTGACGCCATTTGTATTAAGCATTATAAAAGTTTGGCAGACGATGACAAACTATGTACAAGATTCATATCACCAACGAAGATTATACTGCATACTCCTTGCTTTTAAAGAGTACACAGAGTTTCAAAGGGGTAACGAAAAATATACAGCATGCACAGGTATAAAAGTATTTAGAGGAGTCCCTTTAAAGAGAGTTAGAAGTCGGATTTGATCAATCATTTCACATTGATACCAATTTTAACCGATTCCTAACAGGATATGTATGTATATGCTATGTATATGTTGAATGTAGTTTAAAAAAAAATCTGACCCATAAGGCCTACCAATCAAATGTATTGGTTCTACCAATCAAATGTATATTGGTTCCGTCAGGGATGTAAATTAGAAATAACTCGGGTAATGTAAGTGTATTGCAATTAAATAAGTATGTTTAGTTAGCTTATTAGTTATAATAAAAATAATAATAATAATAATAAAAAAATAATGATGATAATAATAATAAACACTTTATTTCATGAAGGTAAGTTACATATTAAGAAATACATATCTTATTTACAATATGGCCTTCAATTAAACAAGATAAAGAAAATGGGTCAAAGACAGAAAGGCCGGGTTGCATTTGTACACCAAATATCAAGAGGTTGTGATGTTACGAAAAAAATACCATTGACCATTAATGTCGAAAACATAACTAAATGGGTAAACAGGAAGTGGACGAGTTACAAACCTGAAATCGAATTCAACGGCATGGGACCATATGTCAATGTTGTATGCCAACTATCAAGAGGCTGTGATAAGTAGTTGCTGAGAAAACTGTTACAAAAATTTCCTACCATTGACCATTAATGTCAAAAATTTAACTACGTGGGTAAACAGGAAGTGGATGAGCTACAGACCTGAAATCGAATCCCACGGTATGGGACCATGTGTCAATGCCCTGCATGCCAAATATCAAGAGACTGTGATGAGTAGTTGCTGAGAAAACTGTTACAAAATTTCCTACCATTGACCATTAATGTCGAAAATTTAAAAGTGGGTAAACAGGAAGTGGATGAGCTACGTACAAACCTAAAATCGAATCCCACGGTATGGGACCATATGTCAATGTTGTATGCCAAATATCAAGAGGCTGTGATAAGTAGTTGCTGAGAAAACTGTTACGAAAATATTTTCCATGCCCGCCCGCCGCCCACCATACTATAACCCGGGTTTGCACCAGTGCAACCCGGCCAAAAATCACAAATATGTACACACATGCATATATCAAAAACATAGACAACAATCATTCAAATCGACAGACACATGCATACATCAGATTCATTTAAATTGTATATTAAGTAATTTTTTTTTTCATATTTCTTTTAAATGCATGTATAGACAAAGACTCTTTAATATATCAAGGTAAATTATTCCATACTTGCATAGCATTATTTCTAAAAGTTCTTTTGCCATATTTTGTATTAGATCTTACATGTTTTATATGTTACATGACAATGTTAATTAGATCACATTTGCTGAACCAGCGACTAACTCGAGAATTTTAATTGTTGATGTAAATTATCTCAACTCTCAACACAACTCTTTTATTTCGTGATACTGGCCCTCCCCATAGTAGGCTGAAACCCCTTTTGAGAGGTTTGTAGAACTCAAATTTGATTGAATCAATGAATGTATCGATTTTTAAAGTAGATCTAGTTGTCTCGATTCGTCATTTTTCCGATGTTCACGTGTTTTTTTTTGTTTTTTTCGAGATATCTATGTTAAAAATCGTTACATTCAATCAAATTAGAGTTCTACAAACCTCTCAAACCCGAAACCAAGTGACCTATGACTAAGTAGTACTTAATACGCTCCATTCGCAACTTTTCGTCATGCCTCCTCATCGCGGTTATTTCCCTTGGACAGTCTATGACGGAAACACCCGATGTTATACGATTGTGCTTGCATCAGAAAAAATATCGGAAATACCGAAATAGCATATGATATAGACGTCATATCTAAAAATAGTAACGGAAAGTATGTTATTGATATCAAAGCACCAATGAAATCGTCCAAAGTTTGTTTACGTCAATCCAATCTGTATGCGACACATCATCACTACGAGAAAAGCGAACGAGTAAGTAACACGTAAACATGAAATCTTGACAAATGTTACATTGAATATACCCGCAAAAGCGGCTAACTTTTTCATCTAAATCTGGAATCGACTAACGACCGTAAAAATGACAGCGCTACAGCCTCAAACTATTGTGATTAAGACGGTGCCGGCGAGATCGCCGACCACTCTGACGGTGACCAGCCAGTTCGAGCATGATATGCTGGACGACCTGTACGGCGACGGTGATGCACCAAGAAAACGCCGACGGTTGACACATCTCTCACAAGAGGAGAAACTCCTGAGAAGGTACACACAGTTTTAACTATTTCATAAAAGATAATTATCGCTGTCAAAAAATTTCAAAGGGTGGGGGTGCCACACCCCTTTTCTGCTTGTATAATATGTTAACTGTGGCTCTGAAAAATCTTCTAATTTTATAATGATTTATCCTTTAAAAAGTTAGAAGTTTTATGTAACAAGTTTTTAATTATTTAAATAGTAAACTATATATATGAGTTAAACAGTTGCATGACAACAATAATAAATTCACACCTTTCAACTGCTGAGCTATTATACATAGTTGACAGAGAATATTTTTGTATCTCTTAACAATAAATTTTAAAAACAATGTCATGATATGAGAATATAACAAAACGTTACATCTTTTTCTTCTTTTCCTCAGGAAGTTGAAAAATAGAGTTGCAGCACAGACTGCAAGGGACAGGAAGAAGAATTTTATGAGTGAACTGGAACAAAAAGTGGCGGAATTGGAACAGGAAAACAAAAAACTCCAAAAAGAAAACCAAGCATTGAAATCAGAATCTGGCAATTTGCACAAACAGAATGTGGAGTTAAAGGGTCGACTGAGCGTACTCGGTAGTGGGTCCGTTAAGACAGAGGTGGTATCAGGATCAGCAGTATCCACTGACCTTCAGCAGCAAGGACAGATCCCACCTGTGTCATACTGGACCAACAACACCTACACAGCTTCAATGTTGACTCTAAGGTGAGGATGTTTTTCATACATTTGAGCCGTGTCACGACAAAATCAACATAATGGGTTTGCGACCAGCATGGCAAACCCATTATGTTGGTTTTGTCGTGACACGGCTCATATTTCTTTTCAGGTTGCTAAAGATAGCTTACATGTAAATTACATACATGTATAACAAAAATTCTCCACAAAAACCTAGTCTAAAACTAAATCAATACTATAATGAATTTTAATGAAACTAGTTTTCACATGAATGCATGGAGAATTGATATTGATATAGGGCAGTCGTTTACAATTTTGTTATTTGATTATTAAATAAATAATGGTTATTGACAATGACATACATTTACAAAGTAAAGTGGCAGCCAGCTCACGGTGCAGTTGTTTTATTTTTAAATGATTGAAAGTCTTGCATTTAAATAATCATTCATCTTTTTTTTTTCAGTCTGACACTCTTGTTAGCCTCCTCCCAACATTCAATCAGTCGCAAATCGCCAACAAAAATTCCCTCACAACGGTTGAGATCTCATCCCTACCGGGATCTACCAGAAACCATGGCAACACAGAGGAGTCAAGCATGGTGGGGCCCTCATCAAAAGAGTTGGAATCCTTCAAAGAACTGATGCAATTTGATCATGTCTATTTTAAGCCCCAGCCCAAGGGCAAGACAAACTCATCTGGTCAACTTAAAGTTTCTCCAAATGTGTTAAACAAAGTAAAAAATGAATCTAGTATTCGAAAGGTGACTGAAAATGGCAACAATGTAAAAAATGTGCAGATTGTGATTACCTCTGACTTACCTGATGTACAGTATGTAAAAGAAAGTGACTTAATTGTACCATCACAAAACAGTGAGTCTAATGGTATGGAAACCATCAATGTTGATGAATACGACAGTGATATGTTAAACAATTTGAACTTCGATCTTTTGGAGGACCTTGAAAACATACTGAAAGCTGACACAGATGGTTTGGCTTGTCCTAACGACAATTATTTACAATCTCAAAAGGATAAGAATGGACTAGTTGTAAACGAGAAAAACCGACAAGGACAGAAGAGGAAAACGAGTGAAATTGAGACAATTGTTGACACTCTTAAATGTAATATTCCTGACAAAGAATTGACTGTAGATTCTGATTATGTCAGTGATATTCCCTCCCCATACAGTGCTTCATCACCTTACAGTTCCCAAAGTTTAGGGTCTCCATTAAGTGACACAAACATTGAATCTCCTCTAACGGACAGTGTATGGGAGGAATCATTCACAGAACTATTTCCAGATCTAATGTAAAATACATGTTTCTGTTTTGAACGTGTAACATGATACTTCCCTGTGGTATTAAATTGAAAATGAATAATAGATAAGGAAGTTTTATGTATGTACAAAGATCAATGATGATGTAATAAATTGCCATGGATACATTGATTTTACCTGGAAATATTTATATGACAAATGCAAGCATTGTTTAAACAATTGAAGAGTGTTAATAATTGTTTCACATTTCATGCATTATTCTTTCTGTTCAGATTATTGTTATATGTATATTTATTGAAATATTTTAACCATAAGTCCTCTTGTGATTTGTAAATAAATTGAAATGGGCTGGTGCAAAAATGTGTTTAGTTTTACTCGGCCTTAGAAAATTACATTAGAGTGACCATTATGGTTTTTAAAGCAGCTCGCCTCCAAATTCATGTTAATTTTCGTTGAAATTTTGGAAATGTATTTAAAAGTAAAATATTGTGAGGTCAACAAATAAAGTAATTAACACATTGCAATCGGCACTTACAATCCAAGAAAATTACCAAAAGGTCGTCATAATATGCAAAGATATGGTAATAAAATACTGCAAAATCAGTCTTGAACCGCACATAACATGTAAAATATAACTTGGATCTTTAAAGTTACATTTAATAAATTTCATAAAAAACTAAATACATGTAGCGACATTTCATTAATAAATTGGGTTTTATATCGACTCCAGGTCTTATTTTAGTGTCCAAACAACCAAAATGAGTTTTATTAGCATAAAATAGGTAACCTCATTGTGGCGAAATGGGAAGTACAATTTCTGTTTGCATGAGAAACTCCGCCTTCGGATAATCCGTACATCAGTATTACATCAACAAACATGACTATAAGTGGCAGTCCTAATTTAACGGTATATTTCCGCATTGTAACGGATGTTTTCATACAAATTTGATCTTTTTACGAGATGATTACTTTTACTGAACCCCAGGTTTAGTGCACAGTGAAGCTTAAACGGTTAAAGTGTGTTTGCACAAGAAAATATCACATTTGCTGTGTTCCGGATATACGCGGATAGCAAATATAAAACTGTGATGTAGCGCATACACGAGCTCATTATAGTCTTCATTTGCATGTTAAAATTCGTATACGAACTTTAGTGTTACCGTGGGGTTTCCCATTTAAAATCCTCATTTATGAACAATATTTGATGAGATTTACAACAAAACTATTAAACAGGTTAATAAAACTGTAGAATGTTTGATTTTTAGGCCGACGGCAAAATATTTTTACATATTTATTTAATGTAACTTTAATGTTATTTCCTTTCCTAAAATTTTAGTAAATTTTTCTCAATATTGATTTTCTTGAAATATTTTGGCTTATCTGGAGGTGTGCAGCTTTAAAGCTACATACCTTTAGAATTTGTTCCCATCTTCAAAAAAATATAAGATTTAAGACACATCACCATTGTAGGTGTCTTTGACTAGTCAATGCTTTTATCACTTGTAACGCATTTCTTAAATTCCATAAATAAGGAACAGTGGCCGAGTGGTCAAGCCGAATGCCTCTCACTTTAGGGATTTAGGGGTATGAACCCTACTTGGGTTACCTGGTTATGACCAGGATTACTCATAGTACACAAGTACTGGTTAGTTTCAAGAAGTAGACATCAAAAGTGGTTCAGAAAAGCTATAAGGTTTCTTGACAATGAAGCTAAATATATAATGTACAAAATAAATACTGAACTTTTTAAAATTTTACATGAATCTGACTTGCTCATAGATAAATTCACAATGTAGATTTATCATCTATCAAAGCCATTTCAAGGAAGTCTTGGCAAAGTTTATACTTATTGGCACAATTGATATGATTTAATAAGGACCATCTTTGCCATACTGTTCATCAACCAAAAACAATAGAAATGAACCAAAGTTTAATCACAGATCTATTTCTGAAGTAAATTCTGATAAGATCTCCTTCAAGTAGGCCAGTGTAAATTTGTCTCCCCTGACCGGTATCCGCGCAGTCTGATCAGGATCCATGCTGTTCGCTATCAGTTACTTTACTTGTTATAGGGTTTGTAAGTGAACAGCATGGATCGTGATCAGACTGGGGGGATGCGCAGGCTGGTCTGTTTCCGTGATGGTTGCAAATGCAATATGTTGGTTTTGTCATGGCGTGGCTCATATATATATAATGTATATTATATAAATTTTTGACCTCTGACATGATGCATAATGAGCTGAACATAATTATAGCAATACAACCTTTATATCTCCTTGTTACTTCAAATAAGAATGCACAAAAGTTAAAAAGAACAAAATTTTTGGGAAAGAATAAAAAACAACATTACATAGCATTACATTCTTTATTATTTGATTCCTTCTGCTAGGTTATTGCACATTAACAAACATTTCTTGCATATCATTAATAATTCAAGGTGCAAAATTCAATGACTGAATCTTCTGTAAAATATGATTGAAGAATGCATATTTTCACACAATCAAGACAATATTGTCTTATCCATGGGTATTTCCTTATTCCTATTTGCTACATGTATTGTGTTAGTCCAATACTACATTCTGAATCCAGTTCTGTTATTTATCAAGCAATGCAGAAAACACATCCCCACTAGATATCAGTTTGAGAAATACATAGGTAATTCCCATTTTTCATGGTGTGTATATTACAAAAAAGTTTGCATTATTTCCACTTAAGTTCACATCACAGATTTATCATGCATTGTTTCAGTCACCATGTAAGTGTTCCCCTTTTTTCATTTATAGAAGCAGCATGTACTTCAACAAAAATAAATAATAAATATGTCACAGCAATGTAGGAGAACAAATGTCATTTGACATTTTCTTTTTGTTTGGTTTGTTTTGAATTTCTTTCCAGCATTATTGGTGGAAGAAGGCCAAAGGTGCCTGATCTCCATTCATTTTATCAGGCAAAAGTGGGAACCAGTAGAACTACTGACTTGCCATCAGGCAAAAGTGGGAACCAATAGACCCACTGACTTGCCATCAGGTGCAAGTGGGAACCAGTAGAACTAGGCACATGTGGGAACCAGTAGAACTAGGCACATGTGGGAACCAATAGAACCACTGACTTGCCATCAGGTGCAAGTGGGAACCAGTTGAACCACTGACTTGCCATTATAAACCTAGAGAGCTTCCTCACATTAAACACTTGAATGTCAATGTCCATATTTAAAAACACACAGTGCTATAAGGCAAATGATTATAAGTTTTAAAGCTGGCGATCTTAACCAATCAGCCACGCATATACAACTTTGTCATGAAAAACTTTCGCTACACTGACATTGACTGATGACTCAAACTAAATATCCATAGACCCCTGCGGTTTTAAGCCTGCCAGCTTCCATTACAGAATAAATACTTCAATAAAAGGCAATTAAATTAATTTAAAAAAAAATTAAAGACTAACTCTACTATGAAATGATATTTTCCAATTTGAATTGATATCTACAAAATCTAACAATGATATGCAAATACATGAATATGTAAATAACATTTGATTGAAATGTCATATTACTAACAAACTATAAATTTCATAACAGTTAACAATCTATGTACACAAAACATAATTTTCATTCAGCATTCTACCTCAATAACAAATGTTTTTATTAAATGTTAATAAATTAATTGTTCAAATATGAATATTGTTTCTACTGGCTGCTATAGAGACAATAATGTTAACACAATTATACACAACATAGATTTATACTAAATACAAAAATACCCACTGCTAACAAAGTACAAAATACCCAATCTAGATATTTCACTAATTTGGAATTATATGTCTATAATGCAGCATATCTCTTTAGAGGATAAGTCTTGAATATTGTATATTAGCGCTGATTAGCGAGACTTCACATGTTTGTTAAACGATGTGTAGACCTGTAAAAGATGCACAGACCTGACTGTTTTATCATTACATGATATTCTTTCAAAAGATAGATATATAATCTATTATAGACTTATAATATAGTTTCAATATAAAATTCTTCTGACCTGATAAAAGTTATATCAACCCAGGACTATCATCTTCAGCAAACATCTCTTTTTTTAGGTCAGACAAACTATATATACACCTCAACATAAATAACAAATTATTTTCTATAATAATTTAACATAGAACGATGAAATTTAGATACAAGTTGTATACTTAACCCTTAATCTGCTGAATTTATGTAATGGATTTGCCCAGCTTTGAAATTGGAACAGTCCATTCAAGGGATTTCAATATTGAAAAAGAAAAATTGAGAAACCAGCAAATGTGCAGGCTGGCATTATTCTATAATGTTGGTAAAACATCAGAAACGTTTTAAACTCCATTTTCCCACACAGAGTGTGTGAAAGATATAGATTTATCTTCCTTTATTATGTCTTTTCAAAAATATTCAGAGTTATCAACAATCAAATTAGTATAGACTCTAGTCAGTCTGTACTTACTTGCAAACTAGTCTGGTTCCCTGCCTAAATTTACTACGCAAAGTATAACGTAGTATAAAGGGAAGTAACTCCAGACTAACATGCAAACTGGCTTGGCTCTACTGGTGTCATATGTTGTCCATTCCATTATCTCAGCTAGATTTTTCAAGGGAAATTTACAACCAATATAAAAAAGACATGTCCATCTTTGAATCTAGACGAAAACCATTCACTATTTTATAAGAATCATTTCAAAATTAGTGCTTGCTAAACAGTAACCAGTTTTGACCATGATCAGATGGCTAAGATTTGCTGGCTGATATTGGTCTGCACTAGTCACATGGTTAGAAAATGTAAGAGGTGCTCAATCTACATTATTCATTCATTTAGTGAAAAAAGAAAACATAACGAAAAACAACTTAACAATATTCCTGAGAGCAATGTGTAAGAATAAGAAAGTAGTTCATAAACTAGTCAATATACAACAAGAGCTGTCACAGGAGACAGCGAAGCTCGACTAATAAAATACTGGACGCAGTAAGGAGGACAAAACTATGAAAGAAAAATCAATTATGTATAATTATGTATTAAGTTATAGTAAAAAAATAACATTTGTTAACATTAATTCCAAGGTCAAGGGGAATAATTCTAGAAATAGTCATGCTAGAGTTATGGACCTTGTCACACAACAGTTGTGTAATCATAAGAAATATATATTTGAAGTTTGAAGTAGATACCTTAAAAAGTAAAGAAGTTATTATATTTCTTAAAGAAAATCCTAAGTTCAAAGAGAGATAAATCTGTAAATATTGCTTCAAGAGTTATGAACATTGTAACATAAAATGTAATTGATGATAAGGAATAAGTATTTGAAGTTTGAAGTAGATACCTTTAAAAATAAAAATGTAATAATAAAAAATAACATTTTTCTAGTAAAATAACCTAAGTTAATGGGGAGATAATTATTGCAATATTGGTGCTAGAGTTATGAACCTTGTCACATAAGATGTGGATGATGATAACGTAAATATATTTGAAGTATGAAGTTGATCCCTTTAGAAATAAATAAGTAACAGTAAAAAAATAATATTTTTTATGGAAAATTCTTAGTTCAAAGGGAGATAAATCTGAAAATATTGGTGCTAGAGTTATGAACCTTGTCACATAAGATGGGGATGATGATAACGTAAATATATTTGAAGTATGAGGTTGATCCCTTAAGAAATTAAGAAGAAACAGTAAGAAATAGTATTTTTTGAGGAAAATTCTAAGTTCAAAGGGAGATAAATCTGAAAATATTGGTGCTAGAGTTATGAACCTTGACACATAAGATGGGGATGATGATAAGGTACATATATTTGAAGTATGAGGTTGATCCCTTAAGAAATAAAGAAGTAACAGTAAAAAATTGTATTTTTTAAGGAAAATTCTAAGTTCAAGGGGAGATAAATCTGAAAATATTGGTGCTAGAGTTATGAACCTTGTCACATAAGATGTGGTTGATGATAAGGAACATATATTTGAAGTTTGAAGTTGATACCTTAAGTAATGACAAAGTTATAGTGAAAAACATTTTACTGCACCAAAACTTTTATCTAAAATCTGGACGCGGACGCCGACGCCGGGGCGAGTAGGACAGCTCTCCATATACTTCGTATAGTCGAGCTAAAAACGATACTGATAAAATGTACAGAAAAATTCAAATGATCGAGTGTTGCGCAGAATGACCGTAAATTGTATTGTAATTACAGGATTATTGTTACAATTCTGGAGTAAAACATTACAGTGAAAATATCAACTAAGCAGGGTAAAAAATACAAAAAATTTATAGGAGTCACTACATCTTTTAAGCTTCTAGAAAATGTATAAAAAATACAAAAAAAAGTTCGCCACACAACATGGAGTCTCTGTAAATCATTCATTCTTACCAACCAGAATTTTCAGATATAACTACAATTATCATAACAACTTAGATGATTATACAAACTTTTGACTTGTCCCACTTGTTCATGAACATTACAATACCACATAGTGCATGTATTTATGATATAAGGACAAAAGTCTTAATAAACATGAGTATTGCATAATGCATCATTAAAATACTAGTATATCACATACAGATTCTTAAAAAAGCGGTGCTAGATAACGTATTGAATGTACATGCCTAATTACATCATATTGTCAACAGCAGTTTAAAAATAATTCGCTAGCTTTTCAGTTAAATTTAAAAGATTTTTTTAATGGTAAAGTTATATCATTATGAACAACAAGAGGGACTGGAAAGCACTGGATTGCTCACCTGAATAAAGGGCAAGAACATCGTGATTAATGTCAACGGAGCTCAAAATACAACATGGAGCAAATATCTATTTTGAGCACTGTCGCCCATTTAATTCAGCTGACCTAATAAATGTTAGCTTTTTTAACAATACCACCAAAACATACTTAAAACATGTAGGTTTCATCAAAATCAAGGCAGTTAAGTTTATTTCTATTTATAGCTCTGTCAGCTATTTTGTTCAGCAGACTGGGACAATTTTAATCATTTTTAAGAATCACCTCTTCTGACTTATATCAAAATCTGTGTAGCAGTCCAGAATGAGATCTCATTATTTAAAATTTATTTTTACTCATACATCTTGCAGCAGTCTGAATCGCATACAGAGATTATTTCCATAGCCAACTGAAATGCACTGACTTTAACAAAAAATTCGTTTCTATAGACTTTATCAATTTGAAGCAACAACAAAACGATTATGAGAAAATGATTTGATAGGAAAATATTACAACTGAAATACATACTGGCTTAAAAACTTTGATTTGGCAACACTACTAAGATAACTATCATACAAGTACAAATGTATACAAAAAAATCTTTTTCAATTAATGAACATGAAAGTCCAATTGTAATTGCATAGTGATTCAAGTTAAAGGCGCATTTTGTTACATTTCCATGTAGATTAACTATTTTTATAATATTCAGAAATATAGTTTTTTGTAATATACTTTGTATATAACAAACTATTTTGATCATAAATTTATTCAGAACTTCTCTTTATACCAAAAACAGTATAAAAAGAGGGTAAAATTTAAGATTTTGACCGTTCTGTCCAGCTGTCTCTCTGCAGGCTTAGTATCTTCATTCTTTAAGCTAAGACCCCTTAATCTTAAAATACAATATACCTATGAACAAAAGACATTCATTTTGGCATAGTAAAACAAGAGGGCCATGATGGCCCTGAGGTCACTCACCTGTATATAGCCCCCCCACCCCCCGGCCGATTTTTACCCAAGGGCTTTTATTTGTTTATTTGAACAGACTTGGTAGACACCCATAAGAAGATGTTTCATGCTAAACATCTAAGTTCTAGCTCATTGGGTTTTTAAAAAGAAGATTTTTAAAGTTTTTACTATACACATATAGTTAAAAACAATGACACCCCTGGGGCAGGGCCAGTTTTGACCCCCGGGCTTTTATTTGAACAAACTTTGTAGATATTTACTTAAAGATGTTTCATGCTTAATATCTAAACTCTAGCTATTTGGGTTTTTTCAAAGAAGATTTTTAAGTTTTTGCTATACACAAATAAGGAAAATCAATGACCCCCCCCCCCCGGGCGGGGCCAGTTTTGACCCCAGGGCTTTTATTTGAACATACTTGGTAGACACCCATTAGAACATGTTTCATGCTAAATATCTTAGCTCTAGCTCTTTGAGTTCTTTAAAAGAAGATTTTTTAAGTTTTTACTATATGCATATAGGGAAAATCAATGACCCCCTGGGGCGGGGCCAATTTTGACCCCAGGGCTTTTATTTGAACAAACTTGGTAGACAGTCATTAGAAGATGTTTCATGCTAAATATCTTAGCTCTAGCTCTTTGGGTTCTTTAAAAGAAGATTTTTTAAGTTTTTACTATATGCATATAGGGAAAATCTATGACCCCCTGGGGCGGGGCCAATTTTGACCCCAGGGCTTTTATTTGAACAAACTTGGTAGACATTCACTAGAAGATGTTTCATGCCAAATATCTAAGCTCTAGCTCTTAGGGTTCTTTAAAAGGAGATTTTTTAAGTTTTTACTATATGCATATAGGGAAAATCAATGACCCCCGGGGTGGGGCCAATTTTGACCCCAGGGCTTTTATTTGAACAAACTTGGTAGACATTCACTAGAAGATGTTTCATGCTTAATATCTAAGCTCTAGCTCTTACGGTTCTTTAAAAGAAGATTTTTTAAGTTTTTACTATATGCATATAGGGAAAATCAATGACCCCCCGGGGCGGGGCCAATTTTGACCCCAGGGCTTTTATTTGAACAAACTTGGTAGACACTCACTAGAAGATGTTTCATGCCAAATATCTAAGCTCTAGCTCCTAGGGTTGTTTAAAAGAAGATATTTAAAGATTTTTCTTTCGGTTGCCATGGCAACCAGAGTTCTGCATGGAATTAAATTCTTTGAACAATTTTTAAAGGTGACCACCAAAGGAACATTCCTGTGAAGTTTGGATGAAATTGGATCAGTGGTTTATGAGGAGATGTCATTTAAAGCAAAAGTTTACGGACGGACGACGGACGGACGACGGACGGACGGACGCCGGACGAAAAGCGATCACAAAAGCTCACCCTGTCACTTTGTGACAGGTGAGCTAAAAAGAGACAACCTCTAAATGACCTTAACCTTCAAGTTGAAACATGAAATTCATGAACTTTGGCTGTATTTTTTTCTTGTACCATGATTCTTTAAAACATTAACCTTTTCATTTACCATGCTAATATCTTACATGTATGTAAATAGGCAATTCCATCTTTCAATCTGGACAAAACCATTTATCATTTAAATAATACGGAAAATTTTCAAAATATAATATATGGAGAGAATAGCGCACAGTGTAGATCATTAAAGGTAAGCAGAGATGTTCAGGTTGACCTTGACTTACTGTCACTTGGGTAGATTCAGTTGCTGCGAGTAGGCTAAGAGTTAAAGCTGTTTAAACGCATTTTGGTAAACTAGACAAAAAAAGTTGAATAGGTTCATAGGTCAGTACTGAAATAATGCTTGATATCTGCTTTATTTTCCCCATTGTTTTCTTTATATGTTAATGTCTTAACAAATGTTTGGTCATATCTCAGGGGTTTAATCCACCAAGAAGGCTTTCCTAGGTTACTTACCAGTAACCAGTAATTACAAATTTTTTGCAAGTGATTTTTCCCTTCAAACTGATTGATTCAAATATTATAATATTTGCAATAAAATTTATAGATATGCAATATGTGCTAAGATCAATAATTGATGAGATTTTGATTTCATGCTATACTGTCACATTAATTCACAAAATTCAATAATATTGTACATCAAGAGAACTAAATATTCTTTTCTCCAGTTCTCTTGCTTTAAATTTGCATAGGTCTCTTTTCCATAACTGATTATTTACTAAAGGTGTTTCACAAAAAAAATCACTTTCATACCAACAGAGTTTAAGATATTAAAGGCCCATTATGCCTCAAAAATGCTTAGTACAATTATAGGGATCATCTAGTTCCTATGAATTGGTTTACTAGATCATTTGAAAAAAATCATCTCTATTTTTAGCTTTGGCAGCTGTTTAACTGACTGGACCAATATAAGCTAATACCACAAAATTTCCACTCAAATCATTCTTAGATGAGCTAAATATTCTTGAAGAAAGTAGGAAAAACTCCAGATAATAGCTCTCATTTAAAAGTGAAATGGGTAGAATGTTTGAGCCATGTTCCTGAAAAGGTAGAAAAATTGTCAAGATGGTTAAAATAACGACAACAGCCCAATTAAATCTGTAAACTTATGAATTACACTGAAAGAACATAGGCCATAGTGTCTATCACAATATGAAAAATCTCAGGTCATATGATAACATATACAATATTAACGTTTATTTTTTTTTACTCCTAAACTACGTTACACTGACGCTGTTTTTGAGGTGTTCAGCTAACAACGACTGCTGGTGAGTTTTGAGCCATTCTTGAGTAATTTCTTTAATCTCTTGTTTAAATTCTTCATGCATTTCTAAAAAAGTTCGAGCTTTTTTCTCACTAATCGATTCACTTCGACTTGACATACTACCTCGATCGAATGAATCGTCATCAAACGGGTTGTGCCGTCGCGCATGACCACTAAATGCAGAGTTTGTTATATTGTTACTAAATCCGGATTGATCTTGTACATGCCCCTGTCTTACTAAGTTGTTTCTATCTTCGAACGCACTTTGTACAAGTTTTCTATCAGAGTTCGAGTCAATGTCTTGTAATTGAGCTTTAAGTTCGTTCACACATAGTTTCATATAATCATAGCTTGCCCCTGACAATGCCTGAAATATTAAAAGCAAAAATAAGTAAATGAAATCAGACACCTAGGAAAGAACATAAAAACTATATTAATTTTATGTCTATTGTATATGAAGTATAAAATGAACATAAAGAGCTTCTCATAGAAATGCTTGCAACTCTTATGAAATGTAAATAAAAACAAGAACAATGGCTTTCACCATTCAAGTGATAACATGTACTTTCACCTTCGGCATTGGACAATCCGGGTTTGATTCCTGTATGGTACAGTCACTTATGTTGTGATTGATCATGAAATCTTTTCTACGTCATTCGCACTGCACCTCTGCTCTAGCATATACAGAAGTTATCATTTCCTTGCAAAAGTGAAGGTAACTAATACTGGTAAACTGCTTGACAGCCTGCCTAGGAACGTGCTCTGGTAAATTCTATGTGGGTAACTGCCGTGATCTCAAGTGAAAATTACCAACACCACCACCATCAAATTTCCACAAGCTGTGGAACAATCTGGGCAATACAGACAATTGATTTTGCAGCCCCTGAATTGAATCTAAACAATTGTAAGTGTTAAGTCATATAGTTGATTATACACCACTTAACCATGTTAAAAATATCAATTATACCTTCATCCAAGCCTCCATATCTTCCTGAGTATCAGCCGACAGAACGTACGTACGTGAGTTTGACCCTGGGAAATTGATCATAAATGTGAAACCATCTTCATGGTCGGATAACTCCACTGTACAACCTTCCAGAACTACCATACCTAGAACCAGAACAGAATTCAATACAACATTCAAAAGTTGAAAACATAAATTGAAGTTTCTTTTACAAATTTGGTGTTGCAAAAAATTAACAAATCTTTCAACCATGATACCTTAAACCAGAACAGAATTTTGATTGATCATTCAAAATCTAAATGGAAGATATTTTTACAAATTTAGTCTTGCGAAAATTTAACAACTCTTACATCCATGATACAAGATCTTACATAAGAAAGGTGCAAATGTCTTTAAAATGAAAATCACCTAGATATGTTGTATTTTAAATACTTTAAGAACAAGCAATTATCATAGTATTGCAAGCGATCCATAAGTCCCCTACCGGTAAGAACCCCAGCAACATTCTGATGGGCTATTGGCCATTCAGTTATACCGTTGAATGAATGAATGAATGACATGAATGAACTTAAATCTTTTGAGTTCTAAGTTTGTCTGTATCATGTAATCTGTTAAGTTTCCCTGCCTAGTAAGGAAATTATGTTTATGCAACAGAAAATCAAAAGGTCCAATTTTCTCTGGATGAATAAGTATAACTAATGTTTCAACTTTTTTCTATTTTAAGTAAATCTATTTGTTGGAAAAAATCTTTAACAGTGATCTCAGGAAACAGTTTTTATGAACACACAGGCAGACAGACTGAAGGAGACTCTATTAAAGTTAATTTTTTAAACATCCTTGTTACCAAAATATAACATTTTTTAAAGCAAAATTCTTATAGAGGAGATAACTCTTGAAATAAAGATGCTAGATTTATGAACATTGTCATACATGATATGAGTGTAACAAAGAACAATTATTTTAAGTTTAAAGATACCAGTTATAGTCACAAAGAAGAAAAGTAAAAAAAAAAAATACAAATATACCAATAAAATGTATAGTAACAAAGATGAAAATTAAAAGATAAATAAATAAACAAATATTATGTAGGTGTCGATAATGAATGTTTATTTTGAATTTGAAGTAAATCCATAAAGAAATAAGAAAGTTAAATATTGAATAAGAAAAATTCAAAGTTTAAGGAGGAGATAATTCTGGAAATATGGATTCAAGATTTAAGATTTATAAACCTTGTCATATTATTATGATGTTTGAGTTTGAAGTAAATCCTATAAGGAATGAAGAAGTTGGAGTAAAAAATGCTAATTTCTCAAAAAAAATCTAAGTTCAAGGGGGACATAATTCTGGAAATAGTCTTTCTAGAGTATTGAAGCTTCTCACAAATGCTGAGTGATAATAAGAAACACATATATGAAGTTTGAAGTAGATACAATAAGAAATAAAGAAGTTATAAAAAAAAACAACATTTTTTTCATGAAAATTCTAAGTTCAAGGGAGGTAATTCTATTATTTTTTATGCAAGAGTTGTAAACCTTGTCACATATGATGTGGTTGATGACCAGATACTTATATTTAAAGTCTGAAGTAAATACCTTAAGAAATAAAGAAGTTATAGTGAAAAAGTGTAAAAACTAGAATCAGAAATCTTGAAATTCAGTCTATTTGTTGCCATAGCAACCAGAATTTTCAACATAAGAAGAAAAGAAAAAATGTTCATAATCTCCATACTGCCATCTACCCATATTTTAAGTTTCATAAAAATATTTTCAGTACTTTTTGCGTTATCACTGGATCTAGTTTATGTGTTAAATTTGTCGTATTTTCAATCTATTTATTGCCATAGCAACCAGAATTTTCAACATGGAAGAAAAGAAAAAGACGTGCATAATTTCCATACTGCCATTTATCCATATATCAAGCTTCATAAAAATACTTTCAGTACTTTTTGCGTTATCGCGAGATCCAGTTTTGTGGACTGACGGACTGACAGACAGACACGTCTGACAGACGGTAAACCTAAAGTCCCCTCCGGTTAAACCGGTAGGGGACTAATTAAACATTTTTTTTACATACAATGAAATATTAAGTGAAACAGACACTGTCAATCATTTAATGGTGTCTTTTCCAGGTTTTACTAATGGAAGAAGGCCTCTGAACCACTCATTAGCTTCCTCACAAAAGTCCAAACCCACAATTTCTCACCCTCAATACTGCGAGGGATGTGATTTTGAGATCAACGGCCCATTTCAAAGTTACCAGATATAATTCACAAGTGGCAATTTTTAAAAACCTGACAAAGCATGAGATTTTTATACATACATTTTTAGTTAATAACTTATATCCTAGTTGATATGCATCCTTGAAATAAAACAAACTCATACAAAAAATATCTAAATAATTAATGCAAGATCATCCTTCATCATTACTTATTTGCATGGGCTTGATTTTCTTTCCAGTATTCTTTATAGAATGTATATGAAAAATTCAAAATGCATCTGAAATAATACACACATACCCCCCCCCCCCTCCCTCTCCTGACCCCTGAAAAAAAACTCTCACCGATTGGATCTTTATCTGTTCTTTTCTCATAATAGAATAACAAGTTTCCTTTAAGGATGAACCATCTTTTCTGGTACCCTCGGTTAAAATCACCACGCTTGTGTAGATATCCCTCCTTGTCCGGTGGAGCACCGGAACTGGCATACTTGGATAAACTCTTATCATTGATCTTCATAATGGCAACTGTCGTCAAATGACATCACCTTCCCTCGTAACAGTCGTTTTAGAACAGTTATTCTTCTTTAGGCAAACATTAACTTTTGAATTCTGTCTCTATTCAAATTTTTTCCTCCAGGACCATACTCTTAATACAACTTCTTCGCATACAATTTCCTTATCTTCAATCTATCATGTTATCCTTATTCTCTGGCTGTCCTCAACATTTCAATTGTCTGATTCCGTTATTCTAATGAACTGTCAATTACATCTCTACGAATACAATTATTACACTGTGTCAATCCAACCGCTCCTGAAAATATCAAAACATGATAAACAACAGTTTAATATTGGTATAATCACGTAACTAAACTAGAAATATATCTTTCCTGTATACATGTATCAGCTGAAATAAAAGGAGAAAAATCAATATGATTCTTACAGGCTTTTTTTTATTGTAGTTTTGAAAAAAAAAATGTTGCCACTCAAATAATCACTTCACTGAACAAGCAGAAAATATAACTTCAAACATGAATGAGTAGCTACATGTACAAAGGTTATAGACTGTTGATGACTCAGCAAATTTATGTCTCATTCACATGTACATAATTCTTTGAACCCAACTGACCGAAAGGGAGACTGAAGATCATAAAACTTTCCTAGAAATTATTTGATAGCATTCTATCAATACATATACAATGTACATGTACAGTCCATCAACTTAACAGCTATTTCTAATGGACTTGGCCCACTTTTAATTTTAACTCCATTGTTATTGCAAGAAATTTTGAAATTGAAACAATACATTTAAGCTTAATTGCTAAACTTGTTCTTACAACTTATATTGGTCACTATAGAATCAAATTCCTGGAAGTAAGTTCAAGTAACCAGTACAGTGGTCATTACTTAAGGAAACATGGTTGTGACACAAGTTGGACTCAAACTCACAATCCCTGGGTTGAGAGGCAAACACCTTAACAACTAGACCATCAATTTTAAATTATGCAGCCAAGCCTAGTCAGACTGCATTTCTGGTGTTATACTGAGAATCTGGTGACAGACTGCATATCTGGTAACAGACTGCATATATGGTGTTAGACTGCATATCTGGTGTTAGACTGCATATCTGGTAACAGACTGCATATCTGGTGTCAGACTGCATATCTGGTGTTAGACTGCATATCTGGTGTTAGACTGCATATCTGGTGTTAGACTGCATATCTGGTGTTAGACTGCATATCTGGTGTCAGACTGCATATCTGGTGTTAGACTGCATATCTGGTGTTAGACTGCATATCTGGTAACAGACTGCATATCTGGTGACAGACTGCATATCTGGTGTTAGACTGCATATCTGGTGTTAGACTGCATATCTGGTGTTAGACTGCATATCTGGTAACAGACTGCATATCTGGTGACAGACTGCATATCTGGTAACAGACTGCATATCTGGTGTTAGACTGCATATCTGGTGACAGACTGCATATCTGGTGTCAGACTGCATATCTGGTGTTAGACTGCATATCTGGTGTCAGACTGCATATCTGGTGTCAGACTGCATATCTGGTGTCAGACTGCATATCTGGTCTCAGACTGCATATCTGGTAACAGACTGCATATCTGGTAACAGACTGCATATCTGGTGTCAGACTGCATATCTGGTAACAGACTGCATATCTGGTAACAGACTGTATATCTGGTGTCAGACTGCATATCTGTTGTCATACTGAATATCTGGTGTCAGACTGAATATCTTGGTGTCAGACTGAATATCTGGTGTCAGACTGCATATCTGGTGTCAGACTGCATATCTGTTGTCATACTGAATATCTGGTGTCAGACTGTATATCTGGTGTCAGACTGCATATCTGTTGTCATACTGAATATCTGGTGTCAGACTGAATATCTGGTGACAGACTGCATATCTGGTAACAGACTGCATATCTGGTAACAGACTGCATATCTGGTAACAGACTGCATATCTGGTGTCAGACTGCATATCTGGTGTTAGACTGCATATCTGGTGTTAGACTGCATATCTGGTAACAGACTGCATATCTGGTGACAGACTGCATATCTGGTAACAGACTGCATATCTGGTGTTAGACTGCATATCTGGTGACAGACTGCATATATGGTCTCAGACTGCATATCTGGTAACAGACTGCATATCTGGTGTCAGACTGCATATCTGGTAACAGACTGCATATCTGGTGTCAGACTGCATATCTGGTGACAGACTGCATATCTGGTAACAGACTGCATATCTGGTGTTAGACTGCATATCTGGTGACAGACTGCATATATGGTCTCAGACTGCATATCTGGTAACAGACTGCATATCTGGTGTCAGACTGCATATCTGGTGTTAGACTGCATATCTGGTAACAGACTGCATATCTGGTGACAGACTGCATATCTGGTCTCAGACTGCATATCTGGTAACAGACTGCATATCTGGTAACAGACTGCATATCTGGTAACAGACTGCATATCTGGTAACAGACTGCATATCTGGTGTTAGACTGCATATCTGGTAACAGACTGCATATCTGGTAACAGACTGCATATCTGGTGTTAGACTGCATATCTGGTGTTAGACTGTATATCTGGTAACAGACTGCATATCTGGTGACAGACTGCATATCTGGTGTCAGACTGCATATCTGGTAACAGACTGCATATCTGGTAACAGACTGCATATCTGGTGTTAGACTGCATATCTGGTGACAGACTGCATATATGGTCTCAGACTGCATATCTGGTAACAGACTGCATATCTGGTGTCAGACTGCATATCTGGTAACAGACTGCATATCTGGTCTCAGACTGCATATCTGGTCTCAGACTGCATATCTGGTGACAGACTGCATATCTGGTGACAGACTGCATATCTGGTGTCAGACTGCATATCTGGTCTCAGACTGCATATCTGGTGTCAGACTGCATATCTGGTAACAGACTGCATATCTGGTCTCAGACTGCATATCTGGTGACAGACTGCATATCTGGTGACAGACTGCATATCTGGTAACAGACTGCATATCTGGTCTCAGACTGCATATCTGGTGACAGACTGCATATCTGGTAACAGACTGCATATCTGGTCTCAGACTGCATATCTGGTAACAGACTGCATATCTGGTCTCAGACTGCATATCTGGTCTCAGACTGCATATCTGGTGTCAGACTGCATATCTGGTAACAGACTGCATATCTGGTCTCAGACTGCATATCTGGTGACAGACTGCATATCTGGTGACAGACTGCATATCTGGTGTCAGACTGCATATCTGGTGTCAGACTGCATATCTGGTGACAGACTGCATATCTGGTAACAGACTGCATATCTGGTAACAGACTGCATATCTGGTAACAGACTGCATATCTGGTCTCAGACTGCATATCTGGTAACAGACTGCATATCTGGTGTTAGACTGCATATCTGGTAACAGACTGCATATCTGGTAACAGACTGCATATCTGGTGTCAGACTGCATATCTGGTGTTAGACTGCATATCTGGTGTTAGACTGCATATCTGGTGACAGACTGCATATCTGGTAACAGACTGCATATCTGGTAACAGACTGCATATCTGGTAACAGACTGCATATCTGGTGTCAGACTGCATATCTGGTGTTAGACTGCATATCTGGTCTCAGACTGCATATCTGGTGTTAGACTGCATATCTGGTGACAGACTGCATATCTGGTGTTAGACTGCATATCTGGTGACAGACTGCATATCTGGTAACAGACTGCATATCTGGTAACAGACTGCATATCTGGTAACAGACTGCATATCTGGTGTCAGACTGCATATCTGGTGTCAGACTGCATATCTGGTGACAGACTGCATATCTGGTAACAGACTGCATATCTGGTAACAGACTGCATATCTGGTGTCAGACTGCATATCTGGTGTCAGACTGCATATCTGGTGTCAGACTGCATATCTGGTGTCAGACTGCATATCTGGTGTCAGACTGCACATCTGGTGTCAGACTGCACATCTGGTGTCAGACTGCATATCTAGTTACAATGCATATGATGTCAGTCTGCTTATCTGGTCAGACTGCATATCTGGTGTCAGACTGCATATCTGGTGTCAGATTGCATATCTGGTGTCAGACTGCATATCTGGTGTCAGACTGCATATCTGGTGTCAGACTGCATATCTGGTGTAAGACTGCATATCTGGTGTTAGACTGCATATCTGGTCTCAGACTGCATATCTTGTGTTAGACTGCATATCTGGTCTCAGACTGCATATCTTGTGTCAGACTGCATATCTGGTGTTAGACTGCATATATGGTGTCAGACTGCATATATGGTGTCAGACTGCATATCTGGTGTTAGACTGCATATCTGGTCTCAGACTGCATATCTTGTGTTAGACTGCATATCTGGTGTTAGACTGCATATATGGTGTCAGACTGCATATCTGGTGTCATTTGACTGCATATCTGGTGTTAGACTGCATATCTGGTGTCATTTGACTGCATATCTGGTGTTAGACTGCATATCTGGTGTCAAATTGCATATAAGATGTCAAATTGCATATCTGGTGTTAGATACATGTATCTGATGTCAAATTGCATATCTGGTGTTAGATACATGTATCTGATGTCAAATTGCATATCTTGTGTTAGACTGCATATCTGGTGTCAGACTGCATATCTGGTGTCAGACTGCATATATGGTGTCAGACTGCATATCTGGTGTTAGACTGCATATCTGGTGTCAGACTGCATATATGGTGTCAGACTGCATATCTGGTGTTAGACTGCATATCTGGTGTCAGACTGCATATATGGTGTCAGACTGCATATCTGGTGTCAGACTGCATATCTGGTGTTAGACTGCATATCTGGTGTCAGACTGCATATTTTGTGTTAGACTGCATATCTGGTGTCAGACTGCATATCTGGTGTGTCAGACTGGATATCTGGTGTCAGACTGCATATCTGGTGTTAGACTGCATATATGGTGTCAGACTGCATATCTGGTGTCAGACTGCATATCTGGTGTTAGACTGCATATCTTGGTGTCAGACTGCATATCTGGTCTCAGACTGCATATCTTGTGTTAGACTGCATAATCTGGTGTCAGACTGCATATCTGGTGTCAGACTGCATATCTCGTGTTAGACTGCATATATGGTGTCAGACTGCATATCTGGTGTTAGACTGCATATATGGTGTTAGACTGCATATATGGTGTCAGACTGCATATCATTCTGGTGTTAGACTGCATATTTGGTCTCAGACTGCATATCTTGTGTTAGACTGCATATCTGGTGTCAGACTGCATATATGGTGTCAGACTGCATATCTGGTGTTAGACTGCATATCTGGTGTCAGACTGCATATCTGGTGTTTGACTGCATATCTGGTCTTAGAATGCAAATATGGTGTTAGACTGCATATCTGGTGTCAGACTGCATATCTGATGTTAGACTGCATATCTGGTGGTTAGCTGCATATCTGGTGGTTAGAGTGCAAAGGCTTAAGTCTGGCTCTATACTTATCATTGGTAGCATTCAAAACTGAATCATTTCCTTATTGTTATTTATCAATATACTGTATACATTATACATGTATATACACATTAATGTGTACTATAATACATGTACATCAAGGAAGACTGAGTTATCACTATGTAACAGATGGTTGTAAAACATTTGAGTTCTTTATCTAAACGGACATACTTATATAATGATGTAATTATATGTACACGATGAATCATTTACTCCAATTTCTGTATCATTATTTCAAATAAGGCCAACATAATGATAAAACAATTATTGGATAATGATAATGTACTGAAGTTTAAGTCTGGAAACTGATGAAACAAACAAGATTGTACATTATATGTGAAAATCACATGCATGAATGATTTGAAAATCTGATTAAAAGCTGTTTGAGCCTGTATAAGCTGTTTTTATATAAAATGTAATATAATTGTATAAACTACGAGTGTGTATAAGCTGTTTTTATAATAATATACAAATAATATTATTTAGTGTAATAGAAATTGGTCATCCCACAATTCTATGTAGCAATCTTAATCTTATGTCAGCTAAATATATAATTTTTTAAGCCAAATTCATGTGTATAATGAAAATAAAAACTAATGAAGTACCATGATCAAGTAAGATATTCTTTGTTTTTTTACCCTAACCAATATCTTAAATGGACTTGTCCATCTTTCAATCCAGACAAAACCATTCATTATTTTAAGGGAAATTTTCAAAAAAAGTGTACTGATTGAATGGCAAACAGTGCAGACCATGATCAGATGGTAGGAATGTGCCGCCTGTTCATGGTCTTCACTGATACCAAGGTTAAAATCATTTGTGTAAGCACTGATCTAAATTACAGTATACATAATAAGAAATGCATACCCCAGTTTTATCTCATTTGTAATTCAAAGTGGTGAACTAATAGACATCATAAAGATAACATAGATCTAAAACAAAGTGACATTTAACATGACTATAAGCCCTATTTTAAAAACTTTTCATAAATATAACTCTAAATATATATAATATATACATGTATATAAAGTTGATTCAACTAATTGCATAAGGCCAAAAAATGTATTTATGTTTATTTTTTATTTATTTATTTTTCTTTAGGGGAGGGGGGAGTGGGGGTTGCAAGTGCCAATGTCACAATTATGGTTAATTTTCAGAGTGTCATTCCAGCAAAGTTTAAAGTTGACTTACTAGTCTATATAAGTAAATTCTGGGAAAAAATTGTGTCCATGCAGGCTGTATTCAGTATTAACCCTAGGCGGCATGTAGGGACTGAATTTTACCAATACCATCATGCAATGCAGACCAAGATCAGCTGGCACATCTGTGCTGTCTGCACTGTTTGCTATTCAGTAAGTAATTATTTTTGAAATTTTCTCAAAGAATGATGAATGGTTTTGTCAAGGCTGAAAGACAGACATGTCCATATAAGATAACTAGCATGATTTAAGGGTAAAATCCATCTTACCTGTTGTTATACTCTAAAATTCCTACATATAAATTATCACTATAACATTCCCACAATCCTGTGTACTCAAAGAAGATTTTATCAAACTGTCCATGTAACACTTCAAAAACAAGCTCTTCAACAAAAAGATAAAAAATAAACTGATAGCAAGCTACATTTTGTAAATTTGTATTTTCTTATTTTTTTTCTTCTAGCAAGCCATTGTACATTTGTATCAGCATACAATGTACATGTACATCAACACAAATCTTTGAAAGTATTTTCTTCCTTGTATGTTAAAAGTCCATGACAAAAACAAAACATAGCTTTGTTTCTAATTTGAACAATAAGTAATATCTGTTCTTTGTTCTTTATTGTAATCTGTAACTACACATGTAATTATAGCCTTCTTTTGATAAAACAATCAGATGTATACATTATCATTATAACAATACTAAACAATGAATGTTACATTGCAGCATGGACTTATCCTCATTTGAGCCGCGTCAAGACAAAACCAACATAGTGGGTTTGCGACCAGCATGGATCCAGACCAGCCTGCGCTTCCGCGCAGTCTGATAAGGATCCATGCTGTTCGCTATCAGTTTCTCTACTTGTAATAGGGTTTGTAAGCGAACAGCATGGATCCTGATCAGACTGCGCGGATGCGCAGGCTGGTCTGGATCCATACTGGTCGCAAACCCATTACATTGGTTTTGTCATGACGCTGCTCATTTGAGTTTAGAACAGTCCATTTTGAGTGTGTCAGTGAGGGATATCAATAACAAAATAACAAACTGGACATATTAATGATATACAGTATGGTTGGACTGAATAACAAACAGATTGGCTTAGTTCAGTTCTGCCCCAAACACACATTGATATGTCCCACTTTTTTTCTGGGAATTTCATTCAACTTTTTAGGCAAAACAATATTATTGTAGAATGAACAATAACTGCCATCGTCTCTAGATACTGTATCCTCACATGCCATTTTGTCACCAGGGCAGGGATAATTTGAAAATTCTAATCTATACGTCATATTGACTTTTAGTTATGCAAACAAAAATATGGTTCGTAAGCAAAACAAATCTCCTGTTTGCAATTTATCCACCTATGAAGTTTCAAGCAGATATCTTCGATATATTTTGAGATATACTTCACACAAAAATGAAGTATGAAAAATTACAAAGAACGATAACTCTAAAAGTATGCCAAGGAGAGTTACGATTCTTGGGCACTGAACTTTATAATATGTCCTATCTGGGTTACATGTACAATATAATACACATTTAAAATTCTTTAGTTCATGATTATGTTGAAAAGTCCTGTGTAAGTTGGGTTGAAATCCTTAAGAAATTTAGGAATTGCACACAATTACATTAATGAAAATAAAACAAAGGGCCAAAATTAGGTAAAAATAACCAAATTATAAACTCGAACAATATAGCACATGGTGACAATAATTTTGTGAAAGCTTGATTGAAATCCTTTGTGAAATGTGGAGATCTTACCATTATTTTCAGTATATGCTTTTTGTAACCTTCTGACAGCAAGTACATGTATCATGATATTCTTATAGGATTTGAACAGTTTTATACAAAAGCAGACAAAAAATAATTTCAAAAGAGTATTTTTCTATATACAAACTGTACAACAAATGTAAATATAAAAGGGCATTTTGTGACGATACTTCCTTGAAAGTTTGGTTAAAGAAATTGTTTACATCCACCTGCTGACATTCACAAATCTAATTAGTAGCATTTTCTTTTCATAAAACCTAGTCGTTAAAAAACTAACAAAGGGAAGTAATTATAAAAAATTTCAAAAGAGGGTTATTGTTCTTGAGCACTTTTCCTCAATGAAATTCATCTACCTCTAATACTTTTATTAGTTATGTCCTGGACAAGTTAAACTAGCTGACTAAATAAAACCCCATGACCAAAGATATGGTCATACCATCAGACAGAAAAACTTAATTCAGCACACCTACATTGTATTTCTACTTCTAGATTTCTACAAAATTTCACTTGAATAAATACAATATGTACATGCAACAGAAATATGACTCTTGTTTAAATTTATGTTGTATTTTGCATCTTCATAAGTCCAATAGCTTGATAATAGACCACTAGTATGCCTTTTAATTGCCCTGAGGTAAATGTACATGTATATTGTGCTCTTATTAGTTTGTGTTTGTATTTAGCACTTTAAAACGCAAGAAGGAAAACTAACAATGAGGCTACAGTACAAACATTGTTATCAGCTGTAAAGTTTAAGTATTTTTAAATGTATGAAACAAGGAAAAAACAACATAATGAATTTTAAAAAAAACCTGATTTTAATGGCCAGATGTAGAAAATAGGTTGGCCATTTATTTTGAAAACATTACACCATCATTAAAATTTAAGTAAATGGTGTTACATTCTAGTTTTTCATGTTTCGATTAAAATGACTATAATTACTTTATATTACCATATTTTACATATTCGAAATATTTTATCGATTGTCACTCAAGTTTTTCAACAAACAAGAAAACGACAATTGTTTCTGACTTTGGCACAAATTTTAACACACAAATTTTACCATTACTTTTTGCAGAATATGGTAAAATGTTGATTCTTTTTTACTTAAAAATGTACAGATTTTATAAAGATTTTGCGCAGAAACTTTGTTGATAACATGTGCACTCTATGAATAAAATAGGTCAATTTTGACCAATGGTGAGTAGTCACACAGAAAAAAGTCATAACTAAAAAATCGGTGAAATTTTTTTCCCAGACATTCTATGAAACAAATGTTAACTTATCAGGAAACAAGGCTTCCTTTTCTTGTAAGGTTTGCTATTATTTAATAAATTAATTCATTAACGTTATTGAGATTTCTAAGATTTGTAACTCATATGGGATAAGTAGTTGGTCACTTGCGGAGATAATGGAACCTAAAACTGGGAAGTACATTTTGGTTTGTACCTGTAGTGTCAAATACATGTTATACCGATTGAACTTACATGAGTAATAATTACGTCATTTCATTGTACAGTATCAAAAAATTTCAACATGCAGAATAGGGGAGTTGACACTCCCAAACCCATTCCCTCTTAGTTGCAATTAGAAAAATTTCTGGGGTAATCCTGTAATTTCTGTTGTATCAGTATGCAGGTGTTTTTCAAATAAATTGTAAACCTGTTATAGAAATTTAAAACTCCTTTCCAGGACAACTACTCTTTTCCTCAGGACAGGTCACAGTTGTCCCTAATGGTCATTTCTCAAAATCACAAAAAAAAAACTAGACATTTTTACCTTCAAGTTATAAGGTAATTGAGTTGGCAATTAGGTCATGTGACCTTAAATTACCAAAATAAAATGATAGAAATAAGCAACAATTTTAAATACAAATTCAATCAACCAAAGAAAAGTGAACAAAATTGTATTTCACATTTTCACCGTTCATGCTTATATATAGTATATACCAACAATCGCATTATCAGACATGCCAAACTTTGTAAAAATCCAAGGTCATTGGGTTTGTTTTTTTCTGACAAAAATTTTAATATAAATTTTTGCGATTTTGTAATGCATTTATTCCAATATTATTGAAAATGCCCTAGGACACATTATTATTGAGCTTTATTCTTGTGATTTAAGATATACCTGTGTACGTTACTGTGTAATTAAAAAAAAAAATCCAATATATGTAGACTCACTAAAATACAGACAAATGGAGCATAATTTGTAATCGGGTGTTTATGACACAGTTCAAAAGATCCAACAGACCTTTTATCTTTGCCTGCCAACCTCATCAAAATGGCATGCCAACAATCCTGAGAATGCTTGCTGTTGAGTCATTTTTAGACTTTCTATAGACATTTAACACCTGTTATAAAATTGAAACAGTTAGAATTAAAATACATAATGTTTTGTTGCTTATTGACCAATAAAAAAATATGTCACAAGCATTTTAACCGGTGACAAAATTCGATTCAATATTACATAAAAAAATTAATATGCGAAACTTCGTCGACACAAGAAGGCGGTTGATAGATTTGCGCTAAAGGACGCTCTAATTGGCTGATGATATTTTACATCCGAAAATATTGGCAGGAACATAGTCACTGATTGAAGTCTATTTGCGATTGTTTTCAGCGAAATAAATTCTCTCTGATATCGCTGTTTATCATCAATGATTTTTATTAAAATGGTGAAATACTGAAAATTTATTTTTAGGAAATGAGACAAAAATATCATTATGGCTGCGATTTTCCTGCCGACTTTTTTTCTTTTTCTTTCATTTCTTTTGAGATTTGAGCCAGCCCAAATAGTTTGAGATGGTATATTTGGCTGGTAGTCAGACTATTCTCTCCCTTACCAGTTCCTCTCCTGACGTTTCCTCCCTGACGGTTCTCTCCCTATTTTGGGGGAGAATCGTCTGCATATTTGCAAATAAGCAGACAGTTCCTCCCCATCTATATTTTTATTAATACATTATTATTGAAGTATTTAGATGTAAAATAAATGGGTAAGTTTATTAATAATTTATATAGGATCTAATTAAATTAGAAAAAAATATTTTATTGAAGTATTTAGATGTTTAATACATGGGTAAGTTTATGATCAATTGATATATAGATATAGATATTACATAATTAGTATATCATTCTGATTGTTTTATTAGATCTAGTGTACTTTTTAATGAGTTTAGTCATTGAAAATAATTAATGAATAACTTACTTGATCATGATGTAAATAAGATAGTTAACAATTGTTTTTTTTTTTTAGTATTTTGTTTTTAGCTCACCTGAGCATGCTCAGGGTGAGCTTTTAGGATCGATGATTGTCCGTCGTCCGTCCGTCCGTTCACATTTTGTTGTTAACACTCTAGCGGTCGCATTTTTGCCTCAATCATCATCAAACTTGGTCAGGATGCTTATCTAGTTGATAGCTCGGATGAGTTCGAACATGGGTCATCTCGAATGAAAAAACTAGGTCACAAAGAGCTAAAAATAGAAAAAACCTTGTTAACACTCTAGAGGTCACATTTTTGCCTCAATCATCATCAAACTTGGTCAGGATGTTTGTCTAGGTGATAGCTCGGATGAGTTGAACATGGGTCATCTCGGATGAAAAACTAGGTCACAGGGGCTAAACATAGAAAAACCTTGTAACACTCCAGCGGTCACATTTTTGCCTCAATCATCATCAAACTTGGTCAGGATGCTTATCTAGTTGATAGCTAGGAAGAGTTCGAACATGGGTCATCTCGGATGAAAAACTAGGTCACAAGAGCTAAAAATAGAAAAACCTTGTTAACACTCTAGAGGTCAC